CTTAGTTAGATTCCTTGACCACTTGCTAACGTTTTCTTGCTCTGGTAGTAGCAATAATTTATATAGTACTTTGATGCACACGTGTGCTTATTGCTTGGTATTAATAGCATAAGGCTGGTTCCTTTTTTCTGTCTCAGCAAGCATGTTTCTTGGAGTCCAAAAGATGTAAGTGGTTGGCAGGTTTAATCCTGGTGGGATATTTTGAGGCTGGAAAAATTTAGGAGTTGCTGAAAAGATACACAGTAGTAATAAGACTTGGTGGAACCCTAGGGAGGAAGTGACAGTGATTTTTAAGCTCTGTCTCCTCCAGTAATCCAATCAAAGACAGTCCCGAGACAGAGAGCAGTTGATGGTATTAGATTTAAAAAATCACGTTAGAGTCTCCCTCAACAGCACAAATACTATAATTCGAACAGGACAAAAAGGATGTCATGACCCCTGATCAAGGACAACATACAAATTTGTGAAGTATGTCTATTTGATAAAAATAAGAATGTATATGGCTGAGCACAGTGGCTCATGCTTGTAATCCTTGCATAGGAGGATCCCTTGAGGCCAAGAGTTCAAGACCAGCCTGGGCAACTGCAGCTATTTAAAAAAAATTAGCTGAGCCTTGTGGCACATGCCTGCAATCCCAGCTACTCAGGAGGCCGAGGTGGGGGGATCACTTGAGCCCAGGAAGTCAAGGCTCCAGTGAACTTTTGATTGTGCCACTGCACTCAAACCTGGGTGACGGAGTGAGACCCTGGCTCTAAAAAATATGACAAAACAAGAATGTAAGCTACCTGGCTTTCCAGCATTGTTCAAATTTCAAGGTTATTTTCCTTCTAAAGTGGTATAGCTATATCAAGTTAAGTTTCACAATGCAATGCAATTAACTTAGGAGTCTGAAAGTAATACACCACACAGGTAATAAAGATCTGGACCATTGCCATAGCTATCAAAACAGGGAAAAAAGATAAAATGAGAAAATAATATTTTAATGCTTAAAAAATGCTTAACCTTTTCTAGTAATTGGTTGGCCCTTAAAGGTGATGAAGAGAAAGTTGTTAAAAATGGCAAACTCAGAAAGGCGGTCAGCATGCCTTTGACAACAACGGAAAGCCTGGCAAGAAGTGCTGATTTGCATGGAAAGATAATTTAGTTGTCAATTTTCTATCGTTCTGGTTCCAGTTAGACATTCAAATGAAGCTACAGTGAGGGCGCAGATATGTGGGAGACACACATATGAAATAGCAGTTGAAGCTGGGAAGGGAGAGAGCATCTGAAAAGGGGTCAGGGAAAAGGCAAGTGCCAGGGCTGACCTTCAATGTGAGTGGACTCAGAGTAGGGAGAGAAACCCAGGCGGAAGGCTGGAGGGGGACAGAGGTCACTCAGCAGGTGTGAGAGAGGCAGGCCCTCTAACCCAGAAGACAGGCTTTGGGTAGCAAAGGAAGTGAGAATTATAAGCAATCAAGAGGGATACATGCTTACATGGGGATTCAGAGGACTTGACCTTGCAATGGACACCATTTTCGAAGAGCAGTTTCAAAGAAAAGTAAAGGCAAAGATCACAATAAAAGGACTAAAGACAAATGGAAATAAGTTGGATGTCATTACCAAGGAGGTAGAAAATCTGAGAAGCTTAAGAACATGAAATAATGGAGTAGGTAGCTCAAAGGCTCACAAAATGGAATCTGAGGAAAGCCCAGTGAAAATACTTCCACGTTGCAAATAAATCGGATTATAGATTACGCTGTGTTTTGGAGTCTAAGGGGAGCCCTCTTCATCTCTGCAGAAGAATGAGTGAATGAGGGGTGGGACAAGAGGCTAGGAGATTTGAGGACACTCTTTTGTTAATCCATTCTTGCCTTGCTATAAAGAAATATCTAGACCAGGTGTGGTGGCTCATACCTGCAATCTCAAAACTTTGGGAAGCCAAGGCAAGAGGATCACTTGAGCTCAGAGCTTGAGACCAGCCTCGGCAATGTGGTGAAACCCTGTTCCTGCAAAAAATTAGCTGGGAGTGGTGTTGCATGCCTGTAGTCCCAGCTACTCAGGAGGCTGAGGTGGGAGGATCTCCTGAGCCCAGGAGGTAAACGCTGCAGTGAATCGTGGTCACATCACCCCACTCCAGCCTGGGTGACACAGTAAGACCCTGTCTCTAAAAGAAGAAAAACAAGAAAGAAAGAAAAGAAGAAAAGAAATATCTGAGGCTGGGTTTATAAAGAAAAGAGTTTTATTTCAGCTCATGGTTATGCAGGCTGTACAGGAAGACAGTTAACAAGACAGAGGAAGCAGGGAGGTGCCACACTCTTTAAAATAACCAGATCTGCATGAACTCGGAGCAAGAACTCACTCACTACTGCTAGGAGGGCAGCAAGCCATTCATGAAAGGTCTGCTGCCCCCATGACCCAATCACCTCCCCCAAGGCCTCACCTTCAACACTGGCGATGACATTTCAACATGAGATTTGGAGAGGACTAGTGTGGAAACCATATCAAATCTCTTCACAGAAATCAGGGGAGCAAAGAAGCACTCTCCAGCCCTCCCTTCACCACCGCCTCCAACCCTCATCTACTAAAAACACTGTGGGATTATTTGGGAGTAGAGATTTTAAAACAGAGGCTCAAACTTTCTGTCCAAAGCCAATGTCAATTAATACAATTTGAATTTTTGGCATTAACAGATATCATTTGGAATTCTACCAAGTTTATTGGGCTTGTTGGAAATTCTCATTCAATTATAAAAACTTAGATAAATACACTTTGAAATGATACTGAATAGCCCTCTCTATTCCCCTGTTCTGAACTAGATCTTTCTTCTTTATCTTTTCCATCCTCTTCCACAAATGACTCCCTTTCCCCTCATCAAATCTGTCATTAGATCCAGTCACTTCTATGCCCAAAATCCTTCACGGACTGGGCAAGGTGGTGCATGCCTGTAATCCCAGCACTTTGGGAGGCCAAAGCAGGCAGATTGCTTGAGTTCAAGAGTTGGAGACTAGCCTGGGCCTCATGACAAACCCCCATCTCTACATAAAATACGAAAATTAGTTGGGCGTGGTAGTACATGCCTGTGGTACCGGCTACGGTACTCAGGAGGCTGGGGTGAGAGAATTGCTTGAGCCCGGGAGGTCACTGTTTCAGTGAGCTGAGATGGCACCATTGCATGCCAGCCTGGGTGACAGAGCCAGACCCTGTCTCCAAATCCTTCATATCCACCCCCATTGGCTTCCACTTATTTAAGACTAAGAATCCAATTCTGGATTACTGTATAGCCTTTTGCTTTGTCTACTACCATCACTTTCATTTCCCATCAATCCTCCGTAAAGCTGCCAGACAGCCCCAGAGACCCTCAAAATAGTGTGAATCTCACTATCTGCACTCTCTTTCTATCACTTATATGATGCAGTCCTGATCCCTCAGTAGCTCATGGAAGGTCTTCTGACCTGGCCTGCTCCACTACAAGTTTCTTCTTGCATTTTCAGGATCCAGGCTATCACACTTGTTGAACCTTCTCAGAAATGTTGTGTCATTTCATGTATTTGTTTCAGGACATGCTGGTCGTCTCTGTCCAGGAGGTTGGCCTTCCGCTACGCCATCGCAATCTCTCACCCCATCCTGACTTCTCCCCACCACTCCGTCCTCACCCCTTTCACCCTATATCCTGATACAAATCTCTGACTTCACAGTCCTTGCACTGAACCAAAATGCAGTGCCCCTTTCCAAAGGCAGCTATTCTGGCTATTACAAGCTATGTCCAGTGCCAGCTTCACTAATAGGCAGAGTAGGCACGGTGGCTAGGGCCCACAATACTTTTTTTTTTTTTTAAGACAGAGTCTCATTCTGTCACCAAGCGCCAGGCTGGAGTGCAGCGGCATGATCTCGGCTCACTGCAACCTCTGCCTCCCAGGTTCAAGCAATTCTCCTGCCTCAGCTTCCCGAGTAGCTGGGACTACAGGCGCACCCCACCACACCCAGCTAATTTTTGTATTTTTTATTAGAGATGGGGTTTCACCATCTTGGTAACCATGGTCTCAATCTCTTGACCTCGTGATCCACCCCCCTCGGCCTCCCAAAGTGCTGGGATTACAGGCATGAGCCACTGTGCCCGGCCCACAATACTTTTAGGAGTCCATTAAAATGTTTAATTTTACTTAAAATCAGAAGAGAAAAATAACTGTTACGTTCATGTATATGCATGTATATGTCATGCATATGTACACATATAGGTATATGTGCGTACATTTATATCTGTATTTTATATATTTATATAATATATAGGCACTCTTTTTTTATTTTAATGGAGGAAAGGGTCCATGAAGGCAGAAGTGTTCAGGGCCCACTGAAGTCATACTGTGGCCCTTGTCAGATTTGAATTTACTTTTTAAAATTCTGAAAATAAAATCAATTTTGATATATTTTTCAGTAAAAGCGTGCATGTTTGAAAGCAGGCTTAAAAAGATAGCATTTCGTCCTGGCACAGTGGCTCATGCCTGTAATCCTAGCACTTTGGAAGGCTGAGATGTGTGGATGGCTTGAGCCCAAGGAGTTCGAGACCAGCCTGAGCAACATAGCAAGACCCTGTCTCTATTGTTTAGAAAATTAAATTTTAAATTTTTCACAAAGGTAGCATTTTAAAATTCTGTAACAATTAATTCAAACTTTTTTTTGTTTGTTTTTGAGACTGAGTCTTGTTCTTTTGCCCAGGCTGGAGTGCAATGGTGTGACCTTGGCTCATTGCAGCCTCCACCTACCAGGTTCCGGTGATTCTCCTGCCTCAGCCTCCCAAGTAGCTGAGATTACAGGCACATGCCACCAACTTTATATTTTTTTGGTAGAAATAGGGTTTCACTATGTTGGCCAGGCTGGTTTTGAACTTCTGACGTCAGGTGATCCAGCCACCTTGGCCTCCCAAACTGCTAGGATTACAAGCATGAGCCACCATGCCTGGCCAATTAATTCAACTTAAATACAATATGTAATTATTGGTTTTTTTTTGTTTGTTTGTTTTTTAGTTTAGAGACAGAAGAAGAGCAACAATATTTCACCTCAAGCTATGTTAACATCTCCACTGATTCATTACAAGGTGGTAAGAAGTATTTGGTTTGGGTCCAAGCAGCAAATGCACTAGGCATGGAGGAGTCAGAACAACTGCAGATTCACCTGGATGATATAGGTAAAGAATAAGAACTTCTGTAATGTCTTTAATAATAACCAATTTGTGCTACCCTAATTAAATGAGTTCTAGATGTGAAAGAAGTTCTCGTAAAATTCCCGCAGAGCCATGATAAAGGAAACAGAAATTACCTATAATTCTACCTGTCCAAGACAGCTTAGAGATGAGTAGTGCTGCTGCCATTTTGTTGTATATCCTTCCAGTCTCATTTCTAAATTGGTGTATGTGGCCGGGCATGGTGGTTCATGCCTGTAATCCCAGCATTTTGGGAGGTTGAGACAGGCGGATAACTTGAGGTCAGGACTTCAAAATCAGCCTGGCCAACATGGTGAAACGCTGTCTCTACTAAAAATGCCACAAAAAAAAAAAAAAAAAAAAAAAAAAACTAGCTGGGCATGGTGGTGGGCACCTGTAGTCCCAGCTACTCAGAAGGCTGAAGCAGGAGAATTGCTTGAACCCAGGGAGGCAGAGGTTGCAATGAGCTAAGATTGCACCACTGCACTCCTGCCTGGGTGACAGAGCAAAACCCATCTCAAAAGAAAAAACAAATTGGTGTATGTGTTTTTTACAAATATTTATTGGAAACATTTTTTTCAAGCATTGTTCTAAAGGCTAGAGTGAATAACATAGACAAGGTACCTCCCCTGAAATAACTTGCAATCTACTAGGGAAAAAAAAAAAAAACAAAACCAAAACAATGATCATGATAAAGTGTATTCAGTCTTACGTTGTGAAAAGTACAGCATGCTAAACTCTTACACTCTCTACACTTCTTGGGGACTTTTGTAGGGTTTTTTTTGTTTGCTTTTATTTTGAAAAGTTTTACAAAATACACAGAAAATTATAGAGAATTATGTAGACCTCGCTATGTTCACCAGCCAGATTTAACAAATATTAATAGTTTTTGTTTCAGATATTTTTAGACCCTGCCTTTTTATACTGATATATTAACAATAAACATTTATTAATTTAATCTGTAGTTTTATTTTTAATGTTTTCTGAATACATTGCAGTTTAATCCCTATTGTTGGAGATTTACAGTATTTTCAGTTTTCAGCCATATAAACTATATTGCCATGAACAAATTGTGGCTAAATTGTAGCATAGTTTTTGGTTGTTTCCTTAAGATAAATTCCAAAAAGTAATTACCCTTGGGCTTTATACAACTATGTCCAAGTCCTAAAACCAGAATTCAGACAAATGACACCAGTGTGACTCATCCTCTCTTCGGAGATCCTAGTACCAATGATTCCTGTTGTTATAATTACAGATTATTTCAATAAGCTAACATTTCTTAAGCAGCTTCTTATGTGCTAACTACTTTTTCTTCTTCTTTTTCTTTTGTTGAAGCAGAGTCTCACTCTGTCACCCAGGCTGGAGTGCAGTTGCATGATATTGGCTCACTGCAACCTCTGCCTCCTGGCTTTAAGCAATTCTCCTTCCTCTGCCTCCCGAATAGCTGGGACTACAGGTGTGTGCCACCATACCTGGCTGATTTTTGTATTTTTAGTAGAGACAGTGTTTTGCCATGTTGGCCAGGCTGGTCTCAAACTCCTGAGCTCAGGCAATCCGCCCACCTCAGCTCCCAAAGTGCTAAGATTACAGGCGTGAGCCACTGCAACCAGCCAGCTAACTACTTTTTACATACATTATTTAACCCTCATAACAGCCCTATTTTGTAGATAAGATTATAATTTATATCTGAGAAAACTGAGGTTTGATGGCATTAAAAAATTTGAGATCATGAAGGTAGGGAACATCTAATTCCAATATCTTCAGTCTTTATGAGAAAAATAAAAGCACATTGCACTGTACCTGACAACTTTTCTGCAGGTTAATGTTCTAGGGGGGTATGAAGCCTTCACTACGGTACCCCTTTGGGATCACTGAAGTCTCCTATTGCAACTAATTATGTCTGCTTTTCAGCTAACCTCAACTATCTCAACTAATGATATTGGTGTAAAAATCTGTCCTTATGCTCTGAATATATATATATACATATATACACATATATAAATTTTTTTTTTTGAGAGAGAGAGAAAGGGGGTTCTGTCACCCAGGCTGGAATGCAGTAACATGATCACAGCCCACTGCAACCTTGAACTCCTGTGTTCAGGGGATCCTCCTGCCTCAGCCTTTCAGGTACCTGGGACTACAGGCCACATGCCACAGTGCCTGGCTAATTTGCTTAAATCTCTTTTAGAGACAGGGTCTCATTTTATTGCCCAGGCTTGTCTTGAACTCTTTGGCTCAAGCAGTCTTCCTGCTTTGGCCTCACAAAGTGCTAGGATTTCAGGTCTGAGCCACCATGCCCGGTCTGAATATGGGATTTGACAGCACATCTGTTGAATATGATGATGGACAATTACTCCATTTTATTGTATATCCTTGGAGTTACAGTTGTCTTGACTATGCTCTATGCATTTTTGTAAATTTACATTTTAAGGTAGAAGGCAGTAATATACCCTTTTCTTATAATAGGTTCCCCTCAATGAATTAATGATGTTTAAAGGCTATCATGTCCAGTATCATTTTAGCAGTACAATTTAGGAACTAAATTATAATAATAATATTTTTGTTATTATCATTATGATGTTGATATCATTGCATCCATTTATTTAGCACTTCTTGTGTTCCAGACACCTACCATGCACATCACATTTCATTCTGGAAAACAACCATCCGTGCTGCTACTGTCCCCATTTTACAGATGAAGAAAGTGATAAATATGCTCAAAGTCACTTTGCTAGTAACCAGGAAAGCCACATTTCATCCCAAATCTGCTGACCTGACATAGTTTACCACCACCCCATCTCCCACCAAGGAAAAAAATCTCATCTGGACTCTACCTCCAGACTGACTTCTTACACTGGGAACTAGGAGTTTGGAGTTGTTCCTTTTCCTTCTTCTCCTTCTTTCTCTTCTCCCCCGCTTCTACCACCTCCTCCCCTATTTCGTCTCTATTCTCTTCCTTGCCTTTTCATTATTCCAAAATGTACTAAAAAATTCAGGTTGTAAAATACAGATTAATTGCATAGGAGGCGCCAGCCAACAAAACCACCAGATTATTAACAGATGAGCAGTCTTCATGAGTGACACTTTAAGAATGAAACATTGCAAATTAGATAAATGAACTGTTTGATGCCACTGAGAGCAGACTCTCCTGGGGACAATTTCCACATAACAGCTACGGGTTGGCTTTAATTACGTTAGGGAAAATATGCTGAGTGGCGGGGCAGAGTTAGCAGCACAGTAACACTTGCCAAAAAAGCATATGAGAGGGATGCTTTTAACTTCTCTTGTAGGGAAATAAATTCCAGTACAGAAAGTGCTGTGCTTTCTGCTTGCTATTTTGAACAATAATTCTCTCCATTACATAAATATGGATAAATATGTATTGGAAAGATGCCAAAATGCTATAATCTGGCGTTTTATTTTTATTTTTTCTTTTATCTTTTTTGTAAACCCTTGTGTCAAGGGCTGACTTTCAGTGGATTGCAGCGAGGGAGCTGCTCTGCTGCATACAAAACCCCGACCCAGAGGCAGGCCGTCTACGAATGGTTTAACGCCAGGTTCCCCATGAACGTGCTTTGCGTGACGGGCAAGGGGGTGGACGAGGGGCACTCCACACCGGACCCCAGTCTCATTTTAATACAAGTAGAATTTAAACATATGACATCTATAATGGAATTGATACTTTTTTAAAATGTAAGATCTGGTGGAAATGTTTGAAACCTAATCAGTATGAGTAAAAATTCAACATTTGAGTCTTGTGTAACAAAAGATCAAGTATGTATTATATAATAAGTGCCAGTTTGCAAAACCATGAACTCATTCAGACCTAAAGACTTAAATCTGGATTGCACTGACCTGCTTTACGCCAACTCTTACTGTGCTATCTGCACATAAGTCTAAACAGATTTCTCATAAAACTAAACAGATTGTTGCTTCCTCCTCAGAATATTTCTTTTCACAAAAGGATCCTTGAATGCTTGTGCTGCTGTAACAGTGGCCAAGTCAAACTCAGAGGCGGGAGACAGGTGGAGGTGGGTGACAGGAGAAGATGGGAAATTTATGGCCTGAAGGTGCCAAAATGGTCCTAAGCAATCTCAGAGCCCCAGGGATCCACTGCCTGGACTCTGGAATCTCTGAATACTGATTTTTTTTTTTTTTTTTTTTTGCGGGTTTGGGGATTGGGCAGTCTTGCTCTGTCGCCCAGGCTGGAGTACAGTGGCGTGATCTCCGCTCACTGCAACCTCTGCTTCTCGGATTCTAGTGATTTTGGTGCTTCAGCTTCCCAAGTAGCTGGGATTACAGGCATCTGCCACCATGCCCGGCTCATTTTTGTATTTTTGGTAGAAATGGGGGTTTCACTATGTTGGCCAGGCTGGTCTCAAACTCCTGAACTTAAGTGATCTGCCTGCCTTGGCCTCCCAAAGTGCTGGGATTATAGGATTATAGACATGAGCCACCACACCCAGCCTTTTTGTCTTTTTTTTTTTTTTTTTTTTTGGAGACAAGCTCTCATTCTGTCCTCCAGGGTGGAGTACAGTGGCACCATCATGGGTCACTGCAACCTTGAACTCCTGGGCTCAAGTGATCCTCCCACCTCAGCCTCCTGAGTAGTTGGAATTACAGGCACATACCACTACACCTGGCTCAATTTAACATCTTATCAAACCTGATCATCTGAACTAAATTAGATGCAGAATCATCTCTCCCTGAGCAGATGCAGGGAGGAAGGAATAGCTCCTTTATCTCATTTTTATACTGTCTTGTTAATAAGACTAGGCTCTGGAATTTTATTAGTTAGAATTATAAGGGAGTAGAAGGTAGGGGAAAGACAGGACTATTCGAGTTCAGTTTCTTTTAAGTGGGAAAGGGGCTAAATAGAATTTTCCTTAACAGCAGTTTTCTTCTGTATAACAGATTAGCAAATAAGAAAATGTTCATTAATTGTTCATTAGATCATGAATATATTTTTTTTTTTTTTACTGTGAGCTTTCACATGTCTATATATTGATGAAAAAATGCCAATTTCTCCCTACGTAAGTTTTAAACAGCCAGGTCTTTTTTTTTTTTTTTTTTTTTTTTTTCTAGTGATACCTTCTGCATCCATCATTTCCAAGGCTGAGACTATAAATGCTACAGTGCCCAAGACCATAATTTATTGGTATAGTCAAACAACAATTGAAAAGGTTTCCTGTGAAATGAGATACAAGGCTACAACAAACCAAACTTGGAATGTAAGGTCAACTTTCATTATTCTTTAGCATGTGAGTGAATGATTTAAAAGAAAAGCCAACCATCAGTGGCTACAGTGGACTTATATCTATTTTACATGCTTTTAATCTGATTGTTTGCATGATATTCAAGCCACTTTAGTTTTTGTTTTATATAGTAGTTTTCAACTTTTATTTTAGATTCAGGGGCACATGTGCAAGTTTGTTACCTAGGTATATTGCGTGATGCTGAGGTTTGGGGTATGATTGATCCTGTCACCCAGGTGCTGAGCATAATTACCAATAATTAGTTTTTCAGCCCTTGATATCCTCCCATTCTCCTCGCTCTAGTAGTCCCCAGTGTCTGTTGTTACCCTCTTTAAGTCCATGAGTACTTGATATGGTTTAGCTGTGTCCCCACCAAATCTCAGCTTGATGGTATCTCCCAGAATTCCCACGTGTTGTGGGAGGGGCCCAGGGGGAGGTAATTGAATCACGGAGGCCAGTCTTCCCCATCCTATTCTTGTGATAGTGAGTAAGTCTCACGAGATTTGATGGGTTTGTCAGGGATTTCTGCTTTTGCTTCTTCCTTATTTCTCGTCGCCACCATTTAAGAAGTGCCTTTCGCCTCCCACCATGATTCTGAGGCTTCCCCAGCCATATGGAACTGTAAGTCCAGTTGAACCTCTTTTTCTTCCTAGTCTCCAGTATGTCTTTATCAGCAGCGTGAAACAGACTAATACAGTACCCAGTGTTCAGCTCCCACTCATAAGTGAGAACTGTGTGGTATCTGAGTTTTTGTTCTTGTGTTATTTCGCTTAGGAAAACCCCTCTAGCTTTAATAATGATTATTGTATGCTTCCAAACAGAGAGCTGTTTCCTGAAAAGATTCACTTGCCTTTTGTAAGTTGCTAAATAAACAGATCTCCAAATAAGAGGAATCCAATTAGCTATTTGTAATTCAGTGTCTCCTAGGGTGAAATTTATATCAATGATCATGGGTAAAAAAATTTAAGCATTCTATGCTGAAATTTGACAAGCATCCAGCGAAATAAAAATTGTTCAGAAGGGAGAACTAAGATTTATGAAAGTTTCTTTTTAAGTGAAAAGCATACAATTAAGAGTGTAATATTACCAGTACAGACCTGAGTTTTAGGTGAGCTTAAAGATGATAATCTGAGTAAAGATGTGTTTTAAAAAGTGAACATCTAGAGAAACAAACTAACCATCCTTAAATGCCAGGGCTAAATTATCTAATGTCTTAGAAAAGGCATGGCTGCAAGGTTCATTAAAGTCACATCACATAACAGCACCTGGGAACCATATAATAAAAACTCAGTAATTTTAACTGTGGAGGAATGCTAATCTGATTTAGGAAGAAGTTCCGAATTTGATATATTTGAAAAGAAATGCCATTTTATTATTTTTAAGTATAATAAATTGCCAGTTAGTTCAAATAATTAAGAAATAGAGTTTCTGGCCCTTTTTTTTTTTTTTTTTTTTTTTTTTAAGAGATAGGCTCTCACTTCATCAATCACCCAAGCTGAAGTTCAGTAGTGCAATCATAGCTCATTGCAGCCATGCACTCT